ACACCATGCACGAGGGAGATCATCGAGCGGCTAGTCAACCAACAAGTTCCAGGACGTCCGCTGCCTGCTCTCCACTTGATGCTGGAGGGCGAGCCCGACAAAGGATCAGCCCCACCTGGCGCAGGCTACTTTGGTGCGAGTGAGGCCTGGAGGGTTCCTTGTGATCTTGCCTGCGGACCCCATCGTGGCAGAGTCGTTGCTTCGGGTTGTGACCGAGGACGGCGACTCAGCCGTTCTAGATGCCGAAGCTCAGGTGGAGATGGAGACCGTCCGCAGCCGGCGATTGGGACCGCTCACCGTGACCATGGCCGACTTCCTATGGGACAACGTGGACCGCTTCACAGCCGCTCATCCGGCTCGGGGCGCTCCTGCTCGAGAACTACGGGTGTTGCCTTTCAACACGGCCACTCCTTCGTGTCGACCTCAGGCGGCCAGTGCTTTGTCCGCCGCATCGCAGTGGATCCAGACCGTCATGGATGCCGAGACCGCCGCAGAGTACATCACCGCCGAGGAGCTCGACGACGAGGACAGAGGGCCTTCCGAGGAGCTCGAGGACGAGCCCCCGGCGGCCAGAGTGGCGGGGTTATCTCAAAGAGACCTCCTTACTCGGATCCAACAGCTGGAAGCTTTGGTGCAACAGGGCGGGCCTCAACCTCCTCCTCCCCCTGGACTTGGAGGCCCTGGCCTTCTTCGCGAGCCTGTTGGGGCGTTGGATGCTGCAGGTCTAGATCGCTTGAGGTCTTTAGCAGGGCCCGCTCCAAGACGAGCTCCGAAGGCCTGCCAATCCTGCGCCCCCACGTGCTTACTGCGAGGCGGAGTTGGAAGTTCTGCCTGCCCCAGCTGCAGAAGATCCATTTGCGGAGAGTCAGGTGACGGACCCCCTTCATCAGATCCTCGCGGCTCAGATGGAACAGACCCGCATGCTGATGGACAGGCTGGCCCCATCCCGCCCGTCAGACGCTGTGGCGGCCGCTTTAGGTTCCGGCCAGGGCAGCGGAAGCGGCGAGAGCAGCGGAGTCAGAGGATGCATGGCACGCGATGCATTTGTCCGACAGGTGCAGGACTTGGAGCGGGTAGCCGAAGTTGCAAAGGGCAACGCTCTTCGGGAACTTGGTTTGGAGAGGGCCGAGCCAAATCTGATGAAGCTCTATGTGGAGCGACGGCTTCCCCTCTCGAGCCTCAAAACCCTAGGTTATGTAGCGAGCTTTGCAGCCGAGGGGTGGGAATGCGGCCACCGCATGTCGAACCCTCAGCTTCAGGGATTTGCGGCCAGACTGCTAATCCTTTGCGAACAGGCCTCCCTCGACGGGGGCAGGCTTTAACTAGCCTGGCTTCTGGGAGGCTTTGCAGAGCCCCCGCCAGCTATGTGGTTGAACACTCGCCGCAGCGGGGTGAAGCCCTTCAGTGCTCTCGCTCATCCCTCCTGGATAGCCGGCAACATTGCTTACTTGAGAGACCTAGACTTCCTAGAAACTCGTATGAACAATCTAAGCAAGGAAAAGGCTGGCAAAACCGAGGAGGCGACCGACCCCGAGGCCGCTGCAAATCCAAAGGGAAAGTTTCGGCGGCGCCCAAAGGCCAAAGCATTGGCCGATGGGAATGCATGATGCAGCATTTTGGCCCTTCCGGCTGCAATCCCCGTCCGTCTGAGAATGTGCGTCCCGCAAGTGGTGCCGTCTCTACTGACACCGGATTTGCTTTGCCTGATTTTGAGCCCTTGTCCTCCAAAATGTTGGACCCCTGCGAATTAATACTCCACGCCTTGGACTTCTTCTTTAGCAGCTCCACGGGCCTCAGTAAGTTTGTTAGGGATTCCCTTAGGGACCCCCTCCGCAATGTTGATGTCGCTCCTTCGGACGACTTATGGCCAATTCCCCCACCTAGGTGGCGATGGTTCGGCAGCTCCCGTAGTAAGAGGGCCAAGCAAAGGCGCCGGCACTTCACTGCCCGTGCTCGACTCCTTCAGGTGGTCATTTGCAGCCTTAATTGGAAGACTTTAGGGTACCCCCATTCTCCCCCGAACAGCTGTATAGTTGGGTCCCCTATCACTTCCAGGCAGCACAGTGTGATTGATCATCTTGACAAATTGGTCGGCAGGCTTCTTCACACTGCCCCATTTTCAGCAGGATCCCTTGGCCGAGCGGGAGCGAAGTTTGCATCTTTCACACGCATCGTGCGGGAACTACCTATTTCTAAGGGTGTGGATCCCCATGCGGAATTAGCTGATTTAGCTGGTTGCATTTTAGAGGGTTTGGGATACAGCCGTGCGAAAGGGCCCGGGCCCTGTGCCTCTCGCTCTGCCGAGTCTGTGCTCTCAGTTCCCTCTAGTGAGGGTAGTCTCTTTGCACCTTCGCCGGATGCATCTGCTCTCGGGCCCCCGGCCCACGTTCCTGCCCTCAGCGGCCTGAATAGCCTTAGGATCACTGCTTCGCGCGTTAAGTGGAAGCATTCACCTTCATTCGACCCCCTCCCATTTATGGATGATCCCCTGCTGAAGCTAGCCTATTCAGACCCTGAGGTGTTACGAAAACCACGTGAGTCTTGGCCGGCCTTGGTTCACGCCGATCGAGGGGAACTCATAGCTTTGGCTCGTACCCTTGATAAACACCATGCACTGGCGGTCTTTGGGGCCGATGAGGTGCTCCACTTGCCCCAAGACGAAGAAGTAGGCCTCTTTAGTGTCAACAAGGATATCACTTGGGATCGTTTGATCATGAACCCCACTGTGGTGAATTCTAGGATGTATTCATATAGCTCGGCTTCCAAACGACTGAAGTCTCCTGCACCTTAAGCCAAACGAGGGGTGGCGGTTCCACGCTGCAGACCTGAGCGATTTCTACCACAGCTTCGTAATTTCTAGGAAGAGGGCTTTTAGGAATAGGTTCCGGGCTAGGCTTTCCCATGCTGACCTTGCTGGGTTTTCCTCCGTGTGCCCTAGTTCCCCTGAGCCCCTCCTCCTAGGTTTGAATACCCTTGCCATGGGTGACAGTCTCGCTGTCGAAATCGCTCAGAGCGCGCACACGGGCCTTCTTCAGAAGACATGTGGAGCCATGCTTGAGCATGAGGTCCTTCAGTATCGTAAACCCATTCCTCGTACTGATCATGTGGAGGCTTTGTCGATTGACGACCACATTAGCCTGCAGCGGCTCCCCTTGTCAGACCTGAAGCCCGAAGTTGAAGCACG